TGCGAATGCGACTTGATCGCAAGTGTGAAAACGCTGCTGATTTTCACCCTAGCGCGCGGGTGCTTAAGACATGCTTCAAAGTGCCAGCACGAGTTCCCGCCAGCAATGCAAAGCTGGAGAGCACGGTCTACTAAAACTTTCTGCTGTGCGTTTATCAACGTTTCTGGCTGCAATAGAAGAACAGTAGGTGGACCTTGCATCAATTACGCGAAGAAGGTCTCTGGAAGCTCGATAAAGCCAATCCACGTCCGCAAGATTTGAACGTAGCGGATGAAAATTAGGGCAAATCATTTTTATGTTAATAGTGAGTTTTAGTATTACGTGCACCCAAGCACAGTGTTTCACACCGCACGCTCGCGGAGCCCAAACTGCGTCTTGCTTTGAAGCATGGTGACGACGCGCATGCGCAGCGTGGAGCATGCAGCGTTAACGGAAACAGACAGCGCTTGCGCTTGCTCCAATACGAAATACTAAAACTCTCAAATGCTTTCCTGCTTAAACCCGAGCATTGTGCGTTGGGCTGGCACATGGCACAGCCGGAATGGCACGACCTGTTTTCAACCGCCATATTTGTCAAGAGAGGCTGGAGTCATGCATATAGGTTATCGCACCAACCTTTGCGAGCACTCGCTTGCATTCCGCGAGCACCCTCATTGGATCCGTCGCAGAGCAGAGGACGTACGTCATGAGCACGACGTCGAAATGGCCATCGGGGACGTCCCACATGTCTTCGGCGCACCCCTGGATCCACCGCTCCATCGTCACGTTGGGGTTCCTCTTCAGCTGCGCGCGAAGGTCCGCTCCAAACGCCGGATTGGGGTCCAGTGTCCAGTACTGCACCTTCCGTTTCACGTGCTCCAAGTTGGCTCCGGAACCTGCGCCGATCTCCAGGACCCTCAGGGCGCCTTGCTTTCTCAGGGTGGCATCGCGCGAGAGCAGCTCGCTAAGTTGGCCCACTGTCGGACGACGCACTCTTGTGAGCTGGACGTTCATCAAAAGCATTGCCACTGGGTAAAACAATCTTGCAAATAACGCTACTTGGACCCTTCTGCTCAGCCTGATAGGAACGATAAACAAAACTCCAGAGACCATGCACATGTAGACTAGGAAGTTCAATGCTGCGGTGATGGTTCTTTCCATTCCGTAAAGGGTTTCGTCCATCGCATTCGTGTACGAACTGGTTACTTGAGAATAGCTTTCATACTTATAAAACCACGAGACGAGGGAAGAAACAAGTATAAAAAAGGGACAACGCAATGAGCTCTCAAAACTTTAGTTTTTATCAAATCGTGTTGTTGACGTGCTCAAAATCGTCATCAGCTGGCAAAAGCTCAAAACTTAATTTGCATGTTCGCGTTCCGGGGGGCACGCTGCATACAAAGACCTGCTTAAGACCCCTGTGTCGAGTGCATTAAGTACGACGGCGCCCGTTGCAACCACGGCAACTGGAGCAACCTCTATGTTCCGCACGTGCAGACTCCTGCAACGAGCGCAGGAATTCAGACAAACGTGACGGTCGTTGTGCCTCCAGAAAGACGGGAACGGATATTTGTATAGCGGCAAGTTTTGTTGATTATATTTTTTTCCAGGATCGGACTTGCATATCGCCGAGGGCAAGTAAAACAACAACTACAAAAACAAATAAAGTTCAGAGTCAATGACGTCTCTACAACGATCGACTTTACCAAGAGTATTAATCTTGCCACCCGCTTTTTTTGCTATTTCAGCAGATGTGATTCCAGCAATTACATAGTAATTCAGAATCTTGTCAAAAGCAGAAGAATGGTTATGAGAAAGAAGATCACGACACAGTGCTCATCAACACTTGCAAGCGTGATTGAACGTAAATGTGTAAATAGCTTAAGGTTTCATAATCTCCTTTATTAGTTGACACGAACGGTTACGGCCTCGATTAGCTGAGACCCACTGATCGCGCTGCTGCACAGCGGCAAATCAGTTCCGTGTGACTTGCGCTTCTCGCACTCGTGCCTTTACAAGGCCCTACCGACATTGTGTATGCTACTCGTTCAACTTTTCAGGGTATCTCGCGACACAAGTTATCGCGTGAACGAAGCCGTGCCATTACGACAAGGTCATAATTTCAGGGGATAGAAAATTCCATTTGTTGATTGCCCGAGGGAAAAAGATGCTTGTAGACATTATGCTCAAGTTTGCATTGTTTCATTTTCCAGGTATAACATAATCTACAGAACCGGTCATTTGAAATGGAATCTTTGGCAACTATGCGTTACAAATTGTATTCACAAAATTAAACGTGCTTCAGTCTGTCTTCGCAGTCTCCTGACTGCTGCTCTTTGCGGATACCAGTCTGCATTAGCATATTAAAAAAAGGCCGCTTGATCGTAGTCCTTTTTGCTCCGCTTTCGGATACGTAAATGCAACGTGCGTAAAGTACAAAATATCTCCCTTTAGCCCCATTAACATTGTCATCTCTATGCTGATTCTGGTTTAGTTGGCTACATGTACTACCTTAAGGTAGTACATGTAGTGCTCTACTTATCAAACATTGTTTCAATTGATCAAGCAACTATATATTAAATCATTTCTTTCCCAAGGAAATATCATCACAACCTCTTTATTAAGTTTATTTTCATTGGCCAAACTTCATTAAGTTTTCCTTGATTTGATCGGACTTTATTTCGGAGTAAATTTAACACAATCGTCTGCGCATATCGGAAGGGGTACCTCAGTGTATTTAATAAATGAGAGAAAACGACGACGACGACGAGCTCTGGTGAGGCTGTTCTTAAAAGCTTTCGATATGTTTCCAGTTTTTCTTTTCGCTACATTTGTATTATCGTGTAACGCGGCTTAAAATATTGCATGCCCCGGCCTCCCGGCAGGGCCGGTCGCTGGTACCTTTCTTGGAGAATATACTATGCATGCAACGTAGCACATGATGGAAGCCATGGACATTCCAATCCATCCAAACCGATATAAAAAGATTTCGGATGCTGTCGACCAAGAACTCCTGACATGTGGCGAAAAAGATCCACCTACAACCCAGGCCTCCGAGATCCTGCTAACGGAACAACATATATCAGTCAATGGACGACCAACAGGCACTGAATCAGAAGACACGGACTTGCAACAAGAATAAGACATAAAAGATGTTACCATCATATCAAATGACAAGTCCTTCAGCAAAGTATGGTCCCGGAAACGCCAACGACCAGGCACGAATTCTTCAAGTAGAGCACTGTTACCTCGTCCACATCAGGTCTGACCTGCATTGAACATACTGTAATATTTAAACCACAAGATGCCTTAAAGCAGCTGGGAAATATGAACAGCATTAGCTTTACATCTTTCTTCGAAAACATCGCCCCTTTCTGCATCCTCGAGATCAAGATAAACAAGAAACTAAACCTGATCTCGGTGGATACACGAAATCTGCACACCATGTCAAAACTAGTGAAACTGACAGAGCTTCTGGGAATACCATGAGCCGCAAAACAAGAACACCTCAGTTGGAGTCATTCATGACTTGACATCTGTGACATTACAATCCAATGTAAATGATGCATACGATACATTTTATGACTTGATCAAGAAGTGCTATGATGAATGTTTTCCGTATAAAGTAATATCTCGATCGAGAAAGTTACGGAAACCTTGAAACAAACTTGATCACATCAAAATGATTAGAAAAAAAATATATTGTTCAAAAAGTTTATTTCCTTGAGACACCCAGACAATTTAGCATCATTAAAAAATATCGAAATAAAATAAACTCCATACTAAAACAAGCAAAAGCGCAGTATCATGCAAACCTCTTCAGATATAAACAAAAAATTCTCCTGCTGCGATATGGAAATCTATAAATGAGGTTCTCCAGCGCGTCCCACGTAACGATAAAATGGAGGAGCTACTGATCAATGACCGAATTCTATCCGGTGTCCCACTGGCAGAATGCTTTCAATTCCTACTTGGTAAATCTTGTTTCGAGCACATATAATGAAGATGCTGTTAAATATATCATACAGAGCCCGAGCTCGTCCCTTTTTCTCAATCCAACAAATGAATGTGAAATCAGCAAAATACTCATGCGACGTAAAAATAGTAACATTCGTGATATTAGCGATTTTTGAATGAAACCAATCAAGCTTGTCACTGACATAATAGAACCGTACCTCGCACATATATTTAACCTCAGCTTGGCTTAAGGTGAGTTCCCCGCAAATATGAAACTTGCCAAAGTTACTGTGATTCACAAAGGAGGTGATATAAACTTAATGACCAACTATAGACCAATATCCATACTGCTTATTTTTTTATAAGGGAGTAGAAACGATTGTAAAAATTCGCGTAGAAAGTTTTCTTCATCGCCATGAAATAATAACTGACGCCCATTGGTTTCAGAAAGGGAAGGACGACAGAGTCAGCGCTCTTACTCCAGAAAGAAATACTTCTAAATAAGATTCAAAACAAGCTTTTAACACTAGGTATTTTTATTGATTTTAGTAAGGCGTTTGACTGCCCCAATCATAAAATACTCCTTGAAAAATTAAAGTGTTATGGAATACGTGGTTCAGCACTCTCACTCTTGAATTTCTACCTTTCCAATCGCCAGCAGTGTGTCAGCATCGACGGGCGATCTTCTTCCCTCAAAGCCGTAACCTGCGGCGCGCCTCAGGGTAGCATACTGAGCCCTCTGCTCTTTAAAATTTTTATAAACGACGTGGTAAAGGTTAGTACTCTTGCGCAAATTGTAATTTATGCCGACGACACCAGCCTTTTTGTTTCGGGCGTAGACGCAGAGAGCTTAATTATTAAGGGGAACGATATTCTCGCGCAATTTGGCAGATGGTCTGAGGTAAATTGCCTTAAAACTAATGTAAACAAAACCAATGCACTCATATTTCGGTCATTGAGTAAGCACGTCTCTTTCACTAAATCCCTCACCTTAAGTAGTGCAATAATCGACATAGTTAAACACCACAAAATGCTCTGAACAACGGTCGTGGGATTACCATATTGATAATTTGTTCAGCAGGTTGTGCAGAGTCATTGGCGTTGTTAGAAAATGCCGCTCAATATTGTCTGTTAACATTAAACTCATGATTTATCACGCCCTTTTCCGGTCTCATATAAATTATTGTCACCTCGTGTGGGGCACAACAAGTTCGAATTTAAACAAAATACTTTTACGTAAAAAAAGGATACTGCGTATCATCGCTGATGTACGCTACCTATATCACACTAAACCGCTGTTAGAAAAATTCAGCATTATTGCCATTACAAACCTGCACGTGTACCGTCTTTTGTGTGCTTTCTTTTTCGGAACAAATGAATTCATTGAATTTCTTTGGCGCACCTCGGATTTGAATAAAAAAGAAATCTCGATCAGTATGCGCTGCTCTGAGATATGGTATGTTCCTCATTTCCGCACGAATCATGCTTTACAATCCCTTCGCCATATGTTACCTTCTCTACTGAACACGTACCACCTAGAAAACATAGATATATGCTCTCTGACTAGAGCTGAATTGTATATGTGTTTTATCTAACGCGGATGTCTCTGTATGACATTTTTCTTTTTCGTTTTCTTTTTTTTTTCTCGCTTTCACATAAGATGCTTGCTCCCGAACGTTTCTGCCGTATCACTTGCTTACTTTGTTTATTGATACTGAAGGACATGCCTATTTGGTAAAAGAAAAATCTACATGTTGTATAACGAGGCTTTTCGATGTATTCCACTTTTCTGCCAGATTGCTATGCTTGTTTTGCTTTAGGCCCCCACGCTCAGACAAGTTACCATATGGTAGCTTCTTGTCTGGAGGCCCGCCAGAGTAAATTTCTGGAAATAAAGATTTCATTTCATTTCATTTCATTACATTGACCCAGACATCACGATGCCAGCTTCGAGAGCAACTCAAGTGCAACGCAACAGTCGCAGAAATACGATGTCTGGGAACGTCAGACACTCTGCGTATAATACTTGGTTCTCCCGTGCTACCAATTCATGTACTTGTCGGGTGCGTAAGACACAAAGTAGATGCCTTTCTACACAGGCACGCGCAGTGCAAAAAATGTGGAAAGCTAGGTCATGTCCTTGCTGATATCAAGCGCAAAGAGGCCTGCACCCGATGCTCTGGGGATCACACACTAGGCAAATTCAGCCCGAGAACCCCACTTCTCATTAACTGCGGAGGGGAACATAAGACTTTCTTTGCAAAATTCCCAAAACAAAAGCTTTGCAGTACCCAAGCTAGCGCGTTCGAGGTTTGAAAATGTAAAAACCGCAGCTATGCGCCACTCTGATTGACTGCCTCAAAACTACCCACAAAAAGTGCCACATCAGCGTGAGAACCTTGCTACTGCAGCAATAACGAACAACAAACAAAGAGAGCCCCCAAAAGCAGAACTTACGAAAGATAACTACTGCAAAAAGAGAGAACCTCTGAAACCGAAACCAGATGAAACAGTCGACAATATGAAATCCAAACACCGCTCGGTGCCATCGCTCCTAGCGGCTGGTGAAAACGCGTCACCTGAGACAAGCAAGTATAACTACGTACATGCCCTGAAGGTAGCACACAAAACAAATTACAAACCCACATACGGAACCTTTCCCCACTAAGCCCGAAGGAAGGCCTCAAAGCCAAGAGCGAAATGAAACTTCAAAGCCAGACGATTCAGCTGCACCTAATTTGAAAGTGATATCTAGAACAGTAATCAAGGCTATCACAAACGTCCTTAGTCAACATGATTGTAAACCTGAGACTGGGGCAGAAAAGAGAACACAGCAGAAGGTAGAAAAAAAGGAAGCAACGTCTCAATTTTTACAATCATGTTCAAGGTTTACAATCACGTTTAACTTACACAAGCTCGCCTGCACTCTGACTATTTTTTCTTAGTCAGTTCACTTCGCCAGTAATGCAAGGCATCGTATAAATCAGGGGTCTCAAACACGCGGCCCGCGGGCCGCATGCGGCCCGCGACTCGCAGGGAGGAGGCCCGCTGGCCCAAGCGGCTACGAGTACCGTATCCCATGTCTCGAGCGCTAGAAATGGCGAGCGCCATAGTGATCTTATCGCGTCGCTTACTTTTCGCTCCAAAAGTAACTCTGCTCTTTTAAAGTATTCACATAGTTTATACTTATCTATATTCATTTGCATTTATAGATATAAATTTTGCTTTCCGACCTTTTTGTAATGTGCCACAATTCCGCTACTAGGTTGCAAGCGCAAGCTATTCGTTGAATAATGTATCTAAGCTGCAAAGCCACGAGCTCAGTAATATTGCCTTCAAAAATATATCACCATTAAAACAGCAGTATTCGTTCGAGTGTTGTCGTTAAAATCATCAGGATAGCAACAACGGTCGTATTAACTGATTTTTGTTTTTTAGCGACATGTTGAGCTTGGTAATTCCTGGGTGAATTATTCAGCTGGAACGGTAATGTATGTGTTCTATTAAAATGCTATATTTTTTTCCATTAAATATGTTAAAAATGCCAGCAAGTTTGGCGGGGCGGTGTCATTTTAATCCTTATCGCATCAGGTCTTATAAACAAGTCAAATCTAAAGATATCACTGGCAAGGCTGTGAGTTTACAAAAACCATAAAGTACGAAGTCTCTCTTTCCCCTCCCCCCCCTCTCCCCACCTTACGTTGGCCCTCGACATCTCGATGTGGGATATCTGGCCCCCACACTCAAATAAGTTTGAGACCACTGGTATAAATACTTAACTTCGTATTTCCCACACTCTTAGATTTATTTTAATCAGCAACTGTTTCCGTTTTGCAGCGGAATGCGCGAGGCCTTCAGTCAAAAACATCAGACCTTCGTGAATACCTTAGAAATAATTCTTGTCCCGTAAAAGCTATATCGGAACGTGGCGTTCGAGACCGCTTCAGGATCTCAAGATACCAAATGTTTTACTCAAAAAAGCACACTGGAAACAGCAAAACTTTACTAGCCACCAGAAATGATTAAACTTACGTTGAAGAGGATATTTGCCCGCGTGACGAAAACGAATATGTATCTGCAACTGTCAGTATGCCCCTAAATTTCGCTAATCCTTCAATTTGCGAAATTCACAAAAAGATTAAGGGCTCGCAAAATTAAAGGGTTCTACAGCATTGGGACAGCCAGTCAGCATGCCCATGTGCAGGGCACACCAACACTCGCATACAGCAGTTCTCACACGGACCCCCAAGGGTCCTCGAGAGCATTCGGGGGGGGGGGGGGAGTCGTCTTCTTTGCATTAGTGCATGTCAAATCAAGGACACGAAACAGGGTGTCCGATGTCGGTACACTATTGTCTAGCATATATCGCCTTTTACACTGATTGCAAGCTGCGAGTGCCAGTTCATACGTAGCACAATCTGAGTACCTGCAAATGCACTATGTTTTTAGGACCTTGCTTTGCATGCCTTGTTTCGTGTGTCTTTACTTGATACGTTTGGTTTACATCCTGTCTGCCCCGTTTTCACATAATAATAGTCTCGTGTCACATTGATACGTTCCTGAAAGGCCTACAAGTTTGGTTAGGCTGTCACTGACGTACTAAAGTCTGCAAACCGCTGCTATTAAAAAAAGGTACGATTTGACGAGTGGCTTTATATTCAGGTACTGAATGGAGAAAAAGTACAGTGCGCTGCATTATGAAAGACCCGCTGGCAGCGCGTGGCCAAGGCAATGGCTGGCGGGGCGCTGCGAGTGCTCTGGGCAATTCCATTCTGCTTCGAGGGGAGGACGCTCACTCGAGCCTCGGCTAAAGCGCAACGCGCTTATCAGTTTGTGCTGAGCCCCGAGTGAGCGTCCTCTCCTTGAAGCAGAATGGAATTGCCCGCATCGCCCGCAGCGCCCCCGCCAGCCACCGCCTCGGTCACGCGCTCCCAGTGGGTCCGTCATATTGCAGCACACTGTGCATGAATAGTGCAAAATAAACAGCAATGCGTTGTAAGCTGTGGGAAGTACTGAATGTAGAATAAGTACATGAGCAGTGCAAAATTAATAGAAATGCTTTGTAAGCTGTGGGAAAACCAGCATCAGTGCTTGAAGTTGAAGTATATTTGTTTCAATTTGTCGAAATGATTTGTTGTCTGTGCGCATAAAGTAGTATGCTTGCAAAAACTTTAAAGAAACAATGTGGTGTTTACAACATTTTTATTCTGCATCCAGAAACCCGGTATAGGTATAGGTTTTCGACGGGAATTCATCGTGGATTCTTTTAACCGCGCAGGCAGGCAGCACACGTCGATTGCAGCGTCCCAGCCTTCGCCACATCCATCGCACAAATTGCTGGTAGGCCGGAAAACGAAGCCTGAAAAATTTATAAGGACAAAGCTGGTAACTTACTACTGATACAAATGTTTGAGGTGCCGGCCAAGACAGATTACAGATCTCGATGATACTATACTCAGTTTCAAGTTGTGCGCAGTGGAGGCACAGTTTTGCACAGTGTTTTGTTTACACAAGCACTTGCGCGCAGAGGGTGTGTTCGGAAGCCACGCGCTCGTGCCTGTACCTGCACTGCACACAAGTTGGGACTTCGAGTATAGCGCAGGTTTATGGAATTGAGGTGCATGTGACAAATGAAAATGCATCAAGATTTGCATTGGAGCATTTAAATAAGTGAAATATAGGACTACAGAGATGTGGTGTTTTCAAAAGCTGGACGGTGGAATAAGGTGCAATGAATGCCTGAAAATGTTACTTGTGCACTTAGGAGACTTGACCGCATGTAATAAAAGTGAAAGCCGTTTACAACTCCCTGTAACGCCGAATTGGAGCGCAGCTCTTGAGGAGGAGGAGTGAAGGGTACTGAGGGGAGGGTAGACCCCTCCTCCTTCTCCTCCTCCTCCCCTCATTCTTTAATATGCTCCGGGGGTCACGTGACCTCGGGAAGGGGGAGTCACGTGACTTCGGGGAGGGGGAGTCACGCGACCTCGGGGAGGCGTGATCTAGGGGTCACGTGACCTGGGGTGGCCTTGGGGGTCACGTGACCTTAAGGTGACCTTGGGAGGGGTCACGTGTCCCCTCCAGGTCACGTGACCTTGGGGTGACCTTGGAGGGGTTACGTGACCTGGGGGTCACGTGACCTTGGGGTCACGTGACCTTCAGGGGGACACGTGGGGGTCACCTTGGGGGTCGCGTGACCTTGAGGTGACCTGGAGGGGTCACGTGACCCGGAGGGGTCACGTGACCTTGGGGGTCCCGTGACCTTGAGATGACCTTGGTTACGCCGACGGCGACGGCGACGCCGACGCCGCTCAAGCCGGAAACGGGCGCCTAAGAACTGCGCTCTAAAAAAACAGGATCATGTGTCGAGCTTGAATGTTTTGTTTTACCGACTGTTTGTACTTTGTGATTTCTGGCTGAACAATATAAGCGGGTGATAGGGCCACTTCATGCAGACCAGAGCACACCTGCCTTTTGTCCTATTACACGAGACCTTGTGTTCAAATAAACTGGGGAACTTCAGAGAGTTGTGATGCAGTCTCCTAAACGTAATGTTGTGTTATTCCATGGGAATATTTGCATGTTGACATGCGTGTGTGCCACCCAAAATGTTTTGTCAGCCCCAGACTGTCGCATGTTTATAAACTTTTGCATGATAAAAATAAGGCATACCTTTTCTTTTTTTCACAAAGGGAAAAAAAATTGGACTGTTTAATCAACTTTGCCGTTTTTCTTTCTTTTTGTATGACTGAAATTGATGTTACAGGCACGAATGTGCTGTCTTCGACAACGCTTTGCCTTCACGAGCGCGTGCTTAGCAGGCCCAAAGTGTTGCGCTCGCTATTGTTGCTTCCTTTTCGCTTGGAATTAGTATGAAGCGAGGCCTGGAAGTATAAGCTGGACTAAGGAGAGGCTCCGTAACCACTGAGTACTCAAGCTTCTTTACTTAGCCAGCACATTTCGAAGGACCCCTGAGTGGTCTGCACAGAGTTGGCTACAAGCATTTCATTCCACTCCAGTGAGCATCCTAACTAGTTAGAGCTTCACACAGCAGGGCAGAGCTCCTCGGCATGGTCATTGCATGCATATTTGCGGACGAGAGTGGAGTCGGTACTGTGCGCAAAAGACTTGCCGTATGCATCACACTGGCGTTTTATTGCATTCTAGTCGAACTTATAAAATCAGTGAATAAAATTTTAGGAGGTTTCCCAGAGATAACTTTCTCTTGGTTAAAAGGGAAAACCTGCGGTGGCGTATGCAGTACGTGCTAGCGGGGTCGCGTTCTGCAATCCCTGTAACGCCTGAGCTCAGGAAGCATGGCTATCAAATGGGCAACAGTTCTCTACAAGGAAATTTCAAACGAGCTACGCACTTCTGTTCTCGCGGCGCCGGGTGACGACCTGCCTCCTGCGGAGCCCAGAACGTGACTTCGAGCACGCCGGGCTGGAGGCAGATCGGTGCGACGTTGGCGTGTTCCGTAATGCACCCTCCTGGGCGAGTCGCGACCGCGGGGGGACACTCTCTGCAGCAGACGCACTCTTTAGGCGTCGGCATGATGCCGCACCTCTTGCACGAGCACCTGAGATCAGAATAAGCCAGTGTCAGACGAAAGCTACCTGCAGACAGCATACGACATGAGACTTGCGATTATTCCCATGCCGTCGTGGTCAGCCGCCACGAATCTGGGTCTGGAGTACGACTGGGGCTTTGGTCGAGCACCGCTCGCGCGTCCTTTTCACTCGGACACTTGGACGGCGTCCCCGCGTAGGGAACGAGCCCCAGTGGCTCGTTGTACTACAGCATGTGGAGCTCGACATCGTTGAGCTCGCCTTTCCAGCAGCCGGTGGTCATGTTGATCGCGTGTCGCAAGCATGTGGTGACGCGGTCCCGTGGTCGTGAGCGGATGAGTTCTCGCCGCTCACTGATGGCGTTAGAGAGAGGACTTCACCGAAACCCCGCGCCTACCCCATCGACGTCACTGCGCACGTGACCCGGAAGACGATGTACGAGTTGAGAGGCGGCAAAAACCTGGATCTTTTTCATTTTTAGAGCGCAGCTCTTAGGCGCCCTGTTCGGGCTTGAGCGGCGTCGGCGTCGGCGTCGGCGTCGCCGTCGGCGTAACCGCGCGGTGCATTATGGGTAAATTTTCCCCGAGGTCCTCCCGAAGGGCCTCGGGTTCCTTCGGGAGGACCTCGGAGGACCTCGGGAGAACCTCGGGTGCCTTCGGGAGGACCTCGGGAGGACCTCGGGTTCCTTCGGGAGGACTTCGGGAGAACCTCGGGAGGACCTCGGGTACCTTCGGTGACCTCGGGGAGGGGGGATCCCCAAGATCACGTGACTCCTCCCCAAGGTCACGTGACCCCCCCCCTCGAGGTCACATACGTGACCCCCCCCCCCCCCCCGAGGTTACGTGACCCCTCCCCCCTGAGAACACGTGACCCTCAGTACCCTTCCCTCCTCCTCCTTAAGAGCTGTGCTCTAATTCGGCGTTACAGGGAGTTGTAAACAGCTTTCATTTTTTAAAATAAAAACTAGGGTATTCAGGCAAAACCTGTTTTCTGTAGTTCACTTCAGAAGTGTCAGGAATCAACTTCCACAATTATTTAAGCAAAGCCCTGAAATAGTTGCACAGCTCCTTTAAATGCAGGCACGAAGTTGCAGTCCCGGAGATCTCCCTTGGTTTCCAAGTCTGACGTGATGCCGGGCTGAACCAAGGGCGATGAGCTGTGACCGTCTCGAACCTCGTTGAGTCGTCCCGGGCTCGTTGTTACCTCCTCCAGGCTCCTTGCTCGAAATTGAGTTGTGAGCTCGTGGCTCACTGGGATGGGTGTCCTGGAGGCTTCCACCTTTGTGGGAGCCGGGGGTAAAAGACGAGGCAGAGGGCACGTGACAGGCGGTCGGCGGAGAAGTCACGAGCTGGGGCGAGACAGTGCGAGCGGAGCGAGGCTGGTAGCTGGACAAGGAACGTCGAAGCCAGGCTGCCTAGCCTGGCCCATAACGAACCCCGGAGCGGTCCACCAGCGAGGTCTGGAGCAAGACCGGTGGAAACGGCGAGCCCGGGTCATATGACCTGGGCTATGACGATCCCGGAGTGGTTCCGCAGCGAGACTCGGGCATTGATAGCCCGGGTCAGCCAGCCTACGCAGCGCTGGCGTGGGAAAGGCGATCCGCAGGCCTGGACACGGACCCCGACTGTGAGCTCTGATCGACGGGCGACAACAAGGGTCGACGGGCCCGGACTACCGGCTCTCGACGACCGGCAACCGAGAGGTACAGTAAACCCATTCGCTGTCTTCTCGTTCCAGTGTGTAACTCCCTGGGTGACTCGCGGAGCGCATACCGATCGGGCGGCGATGATTTGTAGAGGGATCTCCGTAAAGAAACCCACACCTTTCGGCCTCGAGGACTGCTTCCTCTTTCTGAAGTGGCGCTCGTCGCGCCTTCCTTGACACTCTTTCCAGGAAGCGTCGCTACCAGATCGTACCACGCTGATCCTGCTCTGCCTCTTTCTCTTGGGTCTCGCGGTCGCTTGCTGATGACGGCATCCTTGTTCTTGGTCTCATATCCACCATGCCGCGAACACGACGATATCCTCGGGTGCACTTCCGTCGAGTCTGCTTTGTCCCGCCCGGGCCCCTTCGTACCCCCGGCAGGTTTCTTGCTCGCGCAGCCGCCGCCGGTTGCAGGTCCCTTGGGATGGACAACTTGGGGTCTCCCATCCTACAACCTCGATGACGACTCGTTGCCGGACGCGCAAATGTCGATGTTCTCTTTGCACCTGTACTCCGTGAATGGCCTTGAGGCCGGGTTCCGCAGCCGCACCAGGCAGGACTGGTTGATCTCGTCGAAGGAAATCCCAATCACAACCCTCCCGGTGGGCCGCTTGGACTCCTGCGACGGATCCGTTGGCTTGGTCACAAAAACGCACGGCTGCCGATCAGAGAGGTCAGAATCCTGGTATGATTGCAGAACCTCTATTTCTCGCATCTCGGCGGCGCTCTCCGCGTGCTGGCAGGACTTCCCCGGCATTGTCTCCGTCTTGGTGTCGCCTTCGTCTGGCCGCAGGGCGTCGATGGACGCCCGAAGAGACTTCACTTCTTTGTCCTCAGAAAAGCAACCGCCGGGAGCCTGAACAGCCTCCTTAGCTTTTCCGTGATCCTGATCACTGTCAGCCTCCTGCAGCTGAGGCATTGTACAGGTATTGTACGGAACGTCGTCGGTCTTGTCTGGGACAGCGTCGGTCGCGTCGGAAGAAGCACGCTGGTTTCTGGTCACCTCGGTGTCCCCAGCTTCTGTTTTCTTCTTTTCTTGGTACACCACTCCTTTCGCTGCCTCTACGTCGCTCTCACCGTCCCGCCGCTCGCGCTACGCATCGGTCTTGCAAAGGACGGCGACGACCGTGTCGGGAGAAGACGCTGGTTTCTGGTGAACTCTGTGTCCCCAGCTTCCACTTTCTCCTTTTCCTGACACGCCTTCTCTGTCACTCCTTCAACGCTAGTTTTCGCCCGTCGAAGAGACTCCAACTACAGCTTTTTCTTCGCGAGATCTAGCCCTTGTTGCTCGATCTCGTAGTCCAGCCGCTTTATTTCACGCTTCCACACGCGTTTCTCGAGCTCCCACTAGTGGGCCTCGCGTTCCATCTTGCCTCTAACCCATTGCAAAGAATTTGTGAGCTCATCATCACCGATTTTCGTGACCTGAATGAGTTTTTATATTATGCGGTTTTCTTGTTGCTTGCCCCACATCGATCCCTAAATTTATACAGAACTGTACCAGCTCGTGCACGCGGAATGCCTCCAGAGTCATGATCTAGCCCTGTGTTGGCTCTCTTTCCCACAAGATGCTCGTGTCAAAACGGTCGCACAGTCCTTCTGAGAACGACTATATTCAACCCCCACTAGAAAAACTAAGAGCAAATGGGTCTGGCAGATGAAGACAGAAAAGGCCGGGCACTCACCCCCCCAAAATGTCATGATCCGGCGTAGTGATCCCACCTCTGCCACCAGTTGTCGTGACCGAGCGGTTGTCCAGGACTTTGAGTACGGCAGAGAGCCGAGTCAAAGCAGGACTTCATCAGGAAGCAGATATCAGGAAGGTCCAGGGTGCAGGAGAGTGTCTCGCAACACTCTGTTTATTTACATGTTGACAGGTTTAACGTGAGACCACATTCTAGAAGCCGCCTGCTGCTCCTTTTATAGCGTCGAATTTCCCCATATTCCCTGCAGGGAAATTCCATTGTCAATACCTCGACCAAAAAGGTGCAGCCATTGTTCCTAACGTTAGGCATGCCCCTCCCCTCTACCTCACACACCGCCACTCGCGTTACGCGCGCACAACGATGGGCCAGACGTCCTTGGTCACGGTGTCGCCGGTCAATCTCTGGCGGTCAACGGCGCCACCGAAGTCTAAGCTTAAGAATGAAGTCTGGATGGAACACAATAGATAATTTTTCCTGAGTGCAGGCGTCTCGGCTTCTGAGCTGTAGGGAGCACCTCCTAAACCCAGGAGCGTCCCGGTGCTGTCGGGGCGCCGTGCATCGCGACTAGACATAAGCAGCAAGAGAGGTGCCGGTTGGTAACGACGTCTCGTGTTGACACAGGCGTCGCCCAACTTCGAACTGAAGAATGACTCAAGGTAATCCTTCGTTGAATGCCACGTCATCGTATTGCACGCTTATTGTACGAGGGCACGTTTGGACCCCATGGCACCTCACGCTTTGCTTCCGGGCAAAGCTCACCGGAATTACCTGGCGACGACGCTCAAGGCCGTGCACCTGAGGTGGTTGGACTGAACGGGCGAAAATTGTCTTCCGGGGCCTTTTACAATGCCCCTTACTGTCAGGTTTGTGGCTCCTATCCCGACGCCAGACACAAATACTGCTCTTGTCCTCGCGCCCAAGAACCTTCCTGCTTTTTCCTTCCACATCTCCTACTTCCCCATATTCCATTTACCTGTTTCAGCTCGGCCTCTCCCCCCTCACACCTCCACCCTATCCTATGGCCTCGCCTCGCGCAGCACATCTCCCATGTGCGGACCTTTAGATTTCGACAACACTCCCCCAAGCTCTGACCTGGCTCGCCAAGGCCTCACTTTCTTTTAACCACCGCGCGGAAATGGGTCCGTGTTTTTATTGTTCCAACGTCTTACAGTTACTATGGATGGCTTGAATAAAGGCTTTTAGAGCGCGGCTCTTAGGCGCCCATTTCCGTGTTTCGAGGCATCGCAGTCGCCGTCGGCGTAATCGCTCCGCTAAATTTAGGGGATTAAGTTTCCCCACTAAATTTTGCGGACTAAGTATCCCCGCTTCATTTAGCGGGGAAATTGGCGTCACATGACTTCGTGCCGCGTCACCCATGAACACATTCGCTGGTGGAGGAGAGGAGGAGGATCAGGAGGACGGAAAGGAGGAGAAGGAGGGGAGGAAGATGAGGAGGAAAAAGGGGAGGAGGAGGAGGGGCATACCCTCCCCTCTTCCTCCTCAAAAGCTGAGCTCTTATTTCGCATTACAGAGATTTTTAAACGTCCTTCATTTTTCTTAATCTCTTTCTCTTTGTTGCGGTGTAATTAAAAAGAAAAACAAAAAAAAAAACGGCCGGAATCGCTGCTGCCTCCATGCTGATTCTCGATAAAATTCATTAGCATTTCGCGCTGCGGTTATATTCAACAAATCGTGGTGAATGCAGGCTCTCAGAACTTTTCCGTCGGGTGAGCATTCCCGAAACCCCTGTTCTTCCTGATGCAGGCATATCACCTAGCGTGTGCATGAAGGACGTCTGCGTGATGCGCGGAACACGACAGAGTCATTTCGTTGTCGCGCTTACCTCTTGTGCATACATGTGCATACAGGGGCGACGACACCGTGCGCTTGCGGCCCGGTGACATGGTAAGACGACTGCGAGTTAAGAACGGCGTGGCAGGCCGAAGAATGGGACTAGAGTCCATGTGCGCCCACATGTGGCCAAAAGCCGATGGCAGGAGCTTCCAGGGCGTCCAGAGCGGGCACCCTCACGCGGGCCGTGTGACGTAACACCTAGCAACCGAGGTGCAGTGGGGGACAGCGAGGCCAGGGCGTACTTGGGCCGGCGGCGGAGCGCCGCCATCTGTACGGCTGGGGCGTTAATATTTTGTGATAAGCCACCCGCAGACTCGCCGCGAAGCGGCGTGAAGGGGGGGGGGGGGAAGGGGGGGGGCGAGGGGGTGTTGGCACGCGCCCCACTGATAGGCCCGCCGCCCCCCACTGCCCGGGTCTGAAATTGGCGAGGGGCGAAGCGCCGGCGATCTTCGGTTGCTAGGGCTGTGGGGTGCCATCCGATGGCAACGTTGCGAACTCTATAAACGTGTGCTTCAACCACGTCCAAGGTCAGCGCATGTACCAGGGCACTAATGCAAACGCATTAATAAAAGCGAGCGGTTTCTTTCAGTCTCTCTTTCGCAAAACTTGATGACGTAGTCTGGAAGTCGCAGTGGTGGCGTAGTCACCCAGTGACTTTATTTAGATGCGGCTCATAGACTGGACCCGAGAATTGCGTGGCCATCAATTTAGGCTCGCGGTAATCAATAGCTCGACAATCATTTGGGTAGAGGCTCGTGTCCAATGGCGGCAATGACGACAATAGCCGAACCTTAACAATGCCCGGTACTCAGAGCTTGTCCTTCGCTTCGCCAACACCAGCGCCTGGCTATGGCAAACATTGGCGGCATATAATCGGCTACAGATCACGTGGCCGCTTGTTCTGGATGTAAAGTGAGGGGTGAACGTCGCTTATTTTTTTTTCTCGTTTTTTGTGCCACTACCATTGACCAGGAGAAAATCTAACGGGTGTTTAATAGGCTATAAATGTCTCGTATTCATTCATTCTAAGTGGTAATTACGCAAAATAAAAAAAAAATAAAAATCGTTGCACCGTCACTTTAAAGTGCATCCACAGTGGCATTGGAGTCGTACCTCCGAAGCGGATCCGCTCGTCTTTATCATTAAACGCGCGTCAGATTGAATTGGACCTTCAAGTATAAACCGTATGTAAGTTATTGGGCGAGCGACGGGACAAGCGACGGCGACCCGGTTCATTGTTGCTCAGTCAGTCGCGCGACGAGGCAAACCGCATGAAAGCGACGGGAGCGAGCAACCAAGGCGATGAGCGAAGTTTTCTACAAATCCGAAAACCGAGCGACGCGACGAGCGGCAGTGAGAAATCTCCGTCGCTTGTCCATGGCCCTCGTCGCTGACGCCGTCGCGTGTTTGGTCGCTCGCTGAATCGTTTACAAGCGTTCGCGACCGCTTTGCGAATGCGACTCGTCCGCCAGTGTGTGAATGCGGCGTAAACGCTGCCGAATGTGGGCCTAGCAGTCGCGTGTTCAAGACATCCTTCCATAGCCTCCTACGTACTGACAAAGCCTGGCAGATCGCCACGAAAACGGCCGCCGAAATAGAAAAGGTGGAGCGGCAGACAACGGATGAGTAGAGAGCCACGTGACTGGTGCCCCGCTGCGGTGAGACGCCGAAACGCAGCATCTCGCCGCTGCCGCGAGACGCTGCGCCGAGACGCGAAGACCCGAAAGTGTGTTTCGGGTCCTCGCCGCTGCGAGAGCTGTACGCTGACGTAGAGGTTCCCCGAGAAATGGCTCTTTGACGTTTTGTGCTATTAGATCCTCCCGCTCCAAATCTGCGACCGGGCACACTATGGCTCCGTCGTCGAACTGCCAGGCTTTGTTAGTATAGTGGAGGCTTTGATCCTTCAAAGTGCCAGCACGTGCTCCAAGTTGGCTCCGGAACATGCGCCGATCTCCAAGACCCTCAGGGCGCCTTGCATCCTCGGGGTGGCATCGTGCGAGAGCGGCTCGTTCAGTTGGCCCACTATCGGGCGACGCACTCTTTTGAGCTGGCTGCTGGTCGTTGAACAAAATCATTCCAAAGGGGTAAAGTAATCTTGCAAATAGCGCGTCTTGGATCTTTCTGCTCAGCCTGATAGGAACGAGAAACAAAATTGCAAAGACCAGGCACATGTAGAATAGCAAGTTCAATGACGCGGTGATGGCTCTTTCCATTCCGTGGAGGGTTTCGTCCACGGCACTCGTGTACGAACTGCAGTTACCGGAGACTAGTTTTCATAGTTATCAAACCACGAGACAAGGGGAAAAAGGAAAGAGAAAAGAAAGAACGAAACGGCCTCTCAAAACTTTAGTTTTTACCGAATCGTGTTGTCGACGTGCTCGAAATCATCAGCTGGCAAAAGCTCAAAACTTAATCTGCATGTTCGCTTTCCTGGGTGCACGCTGCATACAAAGGCCTGGTTAAGACACCTGTGTCGAGTGCGTTAGCTACGACGGCGCCCGTTGCAACCACAGCGACTGGAGCAACCGCTCTGTTCCGCACTTGCAGACTCCTGCAACGAGCGCAGGAATTCAGACAAACGTGGCGGTCAATGTGCCTCCAGGAAGACGGGGCGCGTTGTCGCGAACCGGCGTAGCAGAAAACGAACAGAACATTTGTATAGCGGCCAGTTTTATTGATTTTTTTTTTTCAAAGACCGGACTTTTATAGGTGAAACCAGGGGAAAAAAACATAAAGTTAATTCGTCTTCAGATAATGATGACTCTACGACGGTCGACTTTACCAAGAAAACTAATCTTGCCACCCGCTTTTTTTTTCTTTTTTTTTTTTGTTTTGCAATTTCATAAGCAGGTGTAATTTCAGCAGTTAAATAGCAATGCCGAATCGTGTCACGAGCAGAAGAAAGGTTATAAGGAAGAAGATGGCGACACAAGGCTCATCAACACTTGCAAGTAGGATTGAACGTATATGTGTAAATAGGTTAAAGTTTCATAATCCCCTCTATGAGTTGACACGGACGGATACGGCTTCGACCAGCTGAAACCCACTCATTACGCTCTGCACAGCGGCAAGTCAGCTCCGTGTTACTTGCCCTTTTCGCATTCGTGCCATTACAAGAGCCCACCGACGTCGTCTGTGATACTCGCTGAAGTCTTCACGCTATCCCGCGACACGAGCGATCGCGTGAAAGAAGCCGTTCCATTGCGAAAAGGTCATAATTTCATCGAAAAGGAAACTCCATTCGTCAATTGCCCGAGGAAAAATATACTTGTAAACATTATGCTCAATTTTATGTTGTTTTATTTCCCAGGTATAATATAAACCACAAAAACCGGTCATTTCAATTTGAATCTTTGACAACTATTTATTATATAGCTTACATATTTTATATAACGATGCATCAGCCTTTCTTTGCGCATGTCTCCTGAATGTCAGTATCAAAAGCCAACTTGATACCGAAGCAAACTTTGCACACGCTTCATTCATTTTTTTTCTTCACACATGAAAGGTAGATCTAAGATTATTGCACATAATTCCCGCAGCAAGTTTTTGCACCAAGGTGTTTTCAGATAAGATCGAACAACCATGTCCGGTAACCATTTTTAATTTTTTATGAAAAAAAAATATTTTGCTGGCTCCACTCCCAGAAAAATAAAACGAATCATTGTTTTTGAAAAGAAATTGTCTTTGCGAAAAACATTTGTATGCACCCTCAGTCACCTCTGCGTTTTGAGTATCGCGCGATGTAGGCATTTCGGGCGGCTTCCTCCAAAAGCCTGTTCTGGCTACGGGTCTAGAAATATTTACTGACAAATTAGGCATAGGAACAATTCACAAAAGGTATTAACCACCGACTGTTAGGGTCGCTATTCTGAAAGACAAAATCGCAAATACGGCACATTGCGCAATAACGCTCTGCATCAAAGATTTTTTTTCTCCGTATTTTTAAAAGCTAAGGTCTTCGAAATTTGGCAGTGGGTTGCTCTGTGCATGAAATATTGGTGTTCTGGTTAGCGGGACAAATTTACAAGAATTGCTCACACAGGGGCTTTTAACTAAATATGCTTTGCTTCGAAAATCGTATAAAAAAACGGCCATCTTTAATATTCTTTAAACTCTCCGACAATAACGTTTATAGTATGTACTAACAGATTCTGTAAAAACATAATGCAATATTTGTTTGTCATATAAATTAGGCTACAAGCAATCTTATTTAATTGCAATTACTTTTTTTGCAATATATATATATATATATTTTTTTTTTCTTGCGTTGTGCGGTCTTTTGCGGCGGCGGATTTATTGGCGCTTAAAGGCAGCGCAGGTTCAAATTTGCCGCGCCCTACCTCCTATACAGACGTGTGCTCGTTACTTGAAAAATGTAATGGATTACAATTACAAATTACCAAGCCTCAAATGTAATGGATTACCGTTAAAAATTACTTTTGCTGGAACTTGTAACGAATTACTTTACTCGTTACTTTACAAATTACTTCCACGATACTTTTTCCCGTATACTCGTTCACAAAACTATAAAAAAAATTTTGATATTTTTCGGAAATATTCTGCAACACTGCTTTTCATTCCTCATTCTCCCGTATTATGGAGTGGTGCACGAAGGCGTCGGATGTCAACAGCCAGGTGTCATCTGCCCCGCGGCAAACGCCCCGCCATTTTTGCCCCGCTTTCAAAAGCCCCAGATTCAGAAGTCCATGACGCGAATCCCCCTTGTCAGGTGGCCGGGTCCGCAGCTTGAGGGCGGAGATTTCTGTTTTAAACTAAGAGACAGTAAGTGTACACGCGAGCTTGTGTAACGTAATCATTCCGTACCCAAGACTCCAGTAAGGAATAACTGCATAAAGCTGTACATGTTAACGTCTTGTGACGCTAGGAGGGGGATCAAACACAAAAAAATCGGTCACTGGCAAAACACTTAAAGTCACATATATTTTTTATGAATAATAATTGAACCAAAACTTTCGTCAACTCTGAAGCACGCGCGGATTCACAGTTTTGGCACAGTGGGTTCTGTCAAAACTGTGGACTCACCACTCATGGCGTCTTACTTATTACGTGCTGCACCAAACGCCCTTTTCCATTCTTAGGTCATTCTAAAAATGTTTGTATGCATCTAGATAAATAAAGTATATATTTTGCGGCTGAGTATACTTCTTGATAGCGGAGTGCGTCGCTGGTTATGCAGATTTATGCCATTAGCCATTTGTACCCACATCAGGTTCAGACTAACCTTATTTTGTGGTTTCTT